TTTTTTTTTTTTTTTGTCTCACTTCGTTCGACGTTGAAGCGAGACACTTTTATTCTTTGGCATCATCCTCTTTCCTTATTACTTTATTCCACTCGTTTATGTATTGTAGTGCCGTTATTAACATTTTATCTTTTATCTCATTTTATATCAATTCATTCGATCAGCTCTTTGAGGTTTAACTGGAATTAACTAAAATTATGAAAAGTTTGATGATTTAATACTGAGAAAATTTAAAATACGAATAAGTGAAACTAATTATTTCAAACATTGCCAGACTATTTGTACGATGCTCGGAGGGTTGAAATAAAAATTCAGAAGAAAGTAGAAACGAGGAAAGGAGTGTCGACGAACTGCGCAGGGAACAGATTGGTTCGAAACGAAATACTGACTTGTTGATAATGGTTTATCACTAATCCAACTTTCCTACTTTCCCCTTTCATTCGAGCAACGCCTTTCCCCGAGACTGTGAAAAAAGGATTAGGATGCAGGGGATAGCCTGCGAATCGATCGAAAGGGATCCCCCTGTAGATTTCTCCAATTTCAGAAAAGGATCCGTGCGGTCTGTTAACCGTTCGATTGGTTCGTTACCGCGTCACTGTACCATCGTACAAAAATATATATATATATGTGTATACGTATGTCGTATTCTCAGTTATTTTACAATCCCTTTCTCGAGCTTCCTCGAGCAATAACCCGCTATTTCCACGAACGGGTAAATGTATCCGAAAATTCTTCCCGATCGATCTTCCCTCGGCTCTTGTCCCCGATTCAACAACGTTCAGGGAGGGGGGACATTCGAAATTCTGTGAGAACTCGAGGTTCTGCCGGATCTCTCTCTGTCGCGATGTTTTCTCCGTTCGCGCGCTCGCACGTTCACGCGCGTGGGGTTGATAGATCGGCCCGACGAAACGAAGGGGTAGTTTGGCTTTAATCGATCCTGTAATCGCCGGGTCCGACAGTTGGCCCCGGCTGCCTTTTTGTCGGCAGTTAGATGGATGGCGCCATTTACATTTTGTCAGTGCGACATGCGCTAACGTAACATAACGTTGCCGCTATCATATCTATCACACCCTCTGGACCGGTACACCGGCCAGTTTGCCGACTCTCTCTCTCTCTCTCTCTCTCTCTTCCTCCTCTCTCTCTGCGCCGTAATCTCGTTTCGCGAATGGATCAGGTTTTTCCACGAGACGAGGGGAATTTTCAAATCGCCGCGAACACCTGTAACCTCGGAAACGAACGAGAGTCTCTACCACTTTTAGAAAAAAAAAAGCGCGTGTATGGACGAGTAACGAAAAACTTCTTGGACTGTCACGGATTAAGCTGCCCGATTTTGACTTTGTGCGGCGATTTCACGGTCGACTTGGGAACGAACGAAGACGTTCCCGCGACGGACTCTCGAAGAAAGAATTCTGAGGCAGAGGGCAGGAGAAAGAGAAAGGAATCGAGAGAGAACTGTCCGATGCGAGCCAATTGACAGATCTGTCAACATGGATGACACCTTCGACGAACGAGCCGACCAGGTGTCTACCTTCCAACCGAAGAGACGATTCCGTCTATTCTTTCTCCTCTCTCCCCTATCTTCCTCTCGTCTTCGTTCGCCTGTCTTCGGCATCTGCCCGGATAATACCAGGGATTATAGCAGGAGGATAGCGAGCCCGCTGACACTGGTCTCGGGCAGAGTATTCCTCCACCGGATCCCGTGCCATAAACAGATCGATCATCTTTCAAAACGGCTCAACGAGAACCCCTGCGAGATGATATCGCTATGCGAATCTCTAATTTCGCGGAAAATTCTCAATTCTCTCGCGTATCAGTATACTGAACGAATGATCTAATGGCGATGAGAAAGCTAATCCTCGTTAAAAAGAAAAGCTGATTCAAGTGATAATTGTAAAATTGAAAAGAGAACATGTTAAAGAGTAAAAACAACTACTGTAAAAATTATCAAGTAATCGTCCAACAGGTAAGGACAGTCGTTTGTCATTTTGTCACTTTTAAGCATAGTGATTCAACGAAGATGTATCACCAAAAAGATTGTCATTGATGAAGCTCGTACAAAGCCGTTGTATCATCATTGTTTTTTCCATTGATTGTAAAATAATAAAGAGTATTAAGATTCTGTTTTGGAAGCAGCGAACGAAATGGTATTGTTCATAAATACCTAATTTCACAAGCAATTTTCAAAGCATCTCTTTTATACGAACAATACTCAGAATTATCAAATCAGTGTTACAGAATCAAGTAAATTCACTAATGAACGATGTTGATTAGGGCCACATAGTTATAGATATTTAAAATAAAGATCTTCAATGTTCAACACATCGTAATAATAATAGTATTTTTCTTTAATTCTTCGGTAACATCGTAACTTATAATCCACATATTCACATTCAGGAAATTTCATTTTCTAGTTATTTCTTTTTACCATTGTTTTTCATGAATGTACCTATCATAACCAAAATACCAAATGATTCACTTATGACAATTATTCATTCCTAGATTTGGAATTTAATTAACAATTTATTGTTGTTACAATAAGTAACAACTTCTTTTTTTTAGAAGTTAAATGAATAGATTATAGAAAGTTAATTTTTCTTATTTATTTTCTCATTTTCCTATTTATTCATTATATTTTATTAGGCTTTTCCCTTTCAGTAATAGTAGAATATTATCATTACTATCAATAGACTGCAGATTTTTATGCATTTATGAAAAATTTAAAGATACACAAAAAACATAGAATGTACATGAAAATATATAAAATATTCAAAATACAGCCTCAATACTCAACAAGTGAATCAAACTAGATTTCAGCTTCTTTTTAACTACCTTCATAAAAATACGAATTTGCATAAAACTCTGCAGTCCAATCATCAAATATCCTTGCCAAAGCTCGAATAAACAAAGCCAATCGATCGACTGAATTATTATCATTACTTGCTCTAATGGCAAAGATCGTCTCAAGAGTATCAGCTATTGCTGTTCAATCAAGGATCGATATATTCGCTTCGTTTATCCACGTTTTTTTTTTTTTTTTCTTTTTTTTTTTGCGAACAAGATCGAAAGTCACAAAAATGCGTGTCGTAAGGAATACAACTCACCTCCCACGCGTAACGGGGGTTGAAAGGCTCGCTCGCCCATTTTCCAAGAAAAGGGCCGAATCGCGCGCCTCGTGGAATGTCCTTCCGCGCTCGAACCTGAGGGCCGCCTGGCGCTGAGCCTCCTACCTCCACTTCCGGCACCGGTGACACCCACTCGCGGTTAGGCTGCTCCTTTTGTTCTTGTTTGACCGCGTCCTCTGCAAACGAGTCGTCGAATTCGCGAATTATCTCGGCACACACCCACACACGCACCCACGCACACACACCTGGAACTGAAATTCTTCACGCAACGAACGAAGCTAACTGCGATGATTCGATATTGCCGATGGAAGAGCAGGCGCCGCGTTTCTCAGCGATTACGTTGCAATTTAGCAGATTAAATCCTCTCGATAAAACCGCTCACGTCAGGGTAACCTACTATTCTAATCCGGACAATTAACCACCACGTCTCCCGATAATTTACACAGTAATTCGTAACATTAAGCGACCCACGCGCTGGCTGACCCAGTATTCTAATTTACGCAATTAGCTTCCGCGACTCACGACACAGTTCGAGCGGTGAGTTTAGAAAAAAAAAAAAGAAGAAAAGGGGAACAGGAACGAAGAATAGAATAGGAAGAGGAAAAAAAGAAAGAGGTGGAATTTCTTCACTCACGATAGGTCTCGCTCCTGTAGACTGCATCCCGCGATCTCGTATACTCTTTCCTTCCGTCAGCCTTCTCGCCGTATTCCCACGAAGATTTCTCCTCGTCCCTGGACGAGAGCGGCCTGTGCTCCTTCTCGTAGTTTTCTCGTAGCTGCTTGTCCATGGCTGGCGAGTAACCGCGTTGATAAGCCGGCCTCGACTGCGGATTATAATCCTGGGAAACGTCGTGGGCACCGGTCACGTGGAGAGCTTTCAGATCCCTGTACACTAAATTACTGGCGGAGTTGCTACCGCCGCGGATCGAGCCGTTTTCTTCCATTTCCTGACTTTCGCCAATTCCCCCCGTGCCTCCTCCGGCCGACGTGCCGGACATCGACTCGCCTTCGTCGCTGCTTCCTGAAACAATGTGGCCACGCAGCTTGTGAAAACCCATGCTCGCAGTTACGCTACCGAAGGCCGAAAAGCGTCTGACTCGTCACGGAGGAAGGTCAAAGGTGCGAAAGTCGACGATCGTCAAAAAGTCAAAATGCCAACACTCGCGAAACAAGGTGCATTCGTTTCACCGATACACTAAATCGGAGTGTCATGTCGGTGATCAAAATTCAATTTACGTTAAATTTCGTTGGTGTAACATCGACCAAATAAGGAAGAATGTTTTAAGCATATCGATTTGACAACTTTCGCGAAGAATTATATACGTTGGCGTAAAAGTGCAACGGAAGGGCAGTTTCCATTTTGTGATATTATTTAATTATGTCACTTAATCTTCCGAGTATTTAGCCCGTACTAGACTGTTATAATCGATAATCGATAGGAAAGTGATATAAACAGAGTATCATAATCTTACAATCAACAATTAAAAATAATTGATTTAGTTATCAGAGATTCGAAGGGAATAACTTATTGCAATATATCGGATAAATATATCAATATATCAAAAATAACCCTTCATTTGATAATTTTAACCACTTGCGCTGGCAATTGATTGCGGACAATAAGTGACCAACCGTACACGATAATTCGTCGCTTTCTTTTTGAACTCGACGGTATGATATCACGGATAGAAATTATTGAGATTACTAATAAATTGATTATTTGTTTTGCCTGGGTTATTCTTTAAATATACTTAAAACTGACAAAATATTGCAATTTTGGGACACAAAATTCTCGACGTGCGTGGCACGTCATTCCAGCGCAAGAGGTTAAGCACCCAAAGGGAACACTATAATTATTTTGTCGATGGTGTTCATTTTACTTTAATGGTTCTAAAATATTAATAGAAATAGAAACATCGTTCAACAATGTCAATGATATCGGTAATTTCCATGGTAGATAATATATACCGATATATATATATATATATAAAAGTTCATGTGGGAATTTCCGCGTGATTCACAGTGAATCGAATCAAACCACGAAGAACAAAATATACCGGTAAGAGTGCATAATCGGAAATTTCGAAATCATTGGAAAGAGAAACGGAAAAAGGAAGAAATACTGCGGTTTCGGAGAAACGGAAAAAATTTGTCTGTTGTTTTGGCGACTGGTCGAGATCCTAGATACACAAGGACAAGTGGCAATCGAACAACGCTATCTCCCCGGCCCGTCGGTCGTTTTCTCAGTTAGAGAGCCGCGAACGTACGACGCGCGAGACACCCGAGCCAAGGATGTTTGACGCGATAAGCCGAGAATTTTATTGCCGCCTCTGCCGCCAGACACCTCTCTCTCCCTCTCTCTCTCTTTCTCTCTCTCTCTCTCTCTCTCTCTCTCTCTCAAATGAAACAGCCTCGCGATGCGACGAAGTGTTTACGCGGAAAACCGAACGTGCTACAATAGAATCGCGATACATAGCTTTCAGAGCACGTAACTCCGAAATGTCCTTCGTTATCTCCGTCTTATCTCTGCGTAGGCAACGCCTTATTCACGACGTTTCTCGATCTTCTATGGCGGGTCACACGGAGAATCATCCGTCGAATCTGGATTTATTTGTATAACTCCAGACCGGATACGACGGGCCCTTCTAATACCCGAAACTTATCTCTTCAAATCGAGAGATATTCTCGCTGTTGTATCGGCTATCTAAAAACAAACTGAGTGAACCGGAACGAGCGCGGCCGTCTGTCTACGAGTGACACGGAGGGACCTGCATGTATCTGGAGTCCTTTACAAACATCGTAAACTTTGTGTGAATCCACGGTTAAGCAAATTGTCGACAAGCTTGCAGGTGTATTCGAGAGAGACTCGCAGCTTGACGCGTCTTATCGCCCAACGGTGTCGATCCTTTGGCGAAATTTTGTCTCTCACTTACGCTAGCGATAACTGTTCGCGACGATCGGTGAAACTTTCGTCGAAGGCAGCCTCTCGATTTCATTCTAATCGGCAGGGTCAACAGTCGGATTAAGGATCCCGCGAATTACGTGAGCGCGAGCTGAGTCGTAAAAAAGTGCGGTGATCCCGGGTGGTGGTTCGATCGACACGAAACTCGCTGCCGGACGTTAATACGGAGATATCGGGACGTGCACGTTTCGCTGTCAACAAGTGAACACAACTTGTGTGAAGAGAGCCGCAACGTCTTTCTCGATCTTACTGCTCCCCGGATCGAAGTGAAATAATCGTAAAGATACGCTTGCGAAGGCGGGGGGGGGGGGGGGGGGGGTGATGATGATCGCATGGCGAGGCTTCGAGCACGATAAACCGAAATCCGGGGCCGGATCGATAGAACAAACAACGATTTCGTGAATTCCAGCCTGATTTTCGCGGAAGATCTGCGCGTGGCTTAGAAGGGTCGTGCGAAAAGCATGACATCCTCTCTCTCTTTTTCGAGAGAAAGAGAGAACGACTACTCGATACGATACAACAACAATATTTAGAAAACTCTCGATGTCACAGGGGTCTTTGACTCCTGTGGGACGCGAGTGCTCGAGCACCTTCTCCCTTGACAGAACCACGAGTACTTGTTCGACCAAACGCGATATTATCCTCGATGAAGCGACTCGAGAGGCTTCCAACCCGATTAGAGTAAAGTGCCGCTTTACCGCGGCTTGGAGAATCGAGAATTGTTCGTGGGAAGACCGACGTAACTCTTTTTCCTCCACCCCCCTCCCCTATTTTTTTTTAATAGCTAAACAAATTAGAGAGTCGTTAACGCACTTGTGCTTGGGAAAACTCGTGCGTCTGCCGTTTACTGTCGGTCTTAGTATTTTATCCTAGAAAATTTCAAAGAAAGAACCAATTCTAAAATTACTAAGGAGAACACTCCTCAAATTAACAAGTCTGGTAACGTTCAAAGATCAAAACTATTTCTCTTTTGCAAAAAGTTCGTACACACATTCAAGTTTGATAAAGAAAGTCTTCGTTGCCGTTATACGAGAGACCACTTCGCATAAGAAAAATAAACGACGCGCGTGTGATTACCTAACAGTAAAGGGGGTTAATAATTTAAAATTACTTCCGCGCATAGATTCGAATTATACACTCGTGCCGTGTTAGTAGAAAAGCAAACAAGTTTGATGAATCAACGCGGTCGATGATCGATGATGTGTCTCCCCAATCATCGTCCTCAATATTGTACCACCCCTATGAGTCTTTCGTACTCGTGAATTGAACTGAAATTGCTAATTTGTCTTTCGAATAAACACAGTATCTTGCGTGTTTCAAAGAGTTTTTTTAATATTATTCTTTATTTTATTTTCTCATATATTCCAAAGAATACACAATAATACCTTATATTCGAAAGATTTCAAAGTCTCTGAATACTTTTGAGTATTTGCGTTCGAGGGAAAACTGTTTGTCAACGGTGCGTCTGACACGTTCGAGAGGCAAACACGATCTGAAATCTCGAAATTGGATCGAACTCGGATTTAATTGCGTGTTACGCGCAAAAAACAAAGAGAAACTGGTTAACTGAGTGTGAGAGATATTCCTCGACGAATCCCGGAAAAGATAATTAACTAAATTGGCAGTCAAGCAACGGGGTGTCGGAAGAGCGATTACACTGTAGACTGTATTCACACACATGTGTAAACCGCATTGCTCCAACCGCACAGGATGTCCTGGCGATATCGGGATCCTGATGGAAAATAAACGCGTACCCATTAACGTCTATCGTATAACGTCCTCGCGACGATTGTCTAATTACTTATTAATTAATTTTCGCCTGATGGGGCGATCAAGGTTCATTAGAACGTGACGAAAATGATTCGGACTGTATCCGAATCTTACGTCAAGGAACGTTATTTTGACGATAAGAGTATCAACTCGTCAGAAGACTCAGTAGATTCAAGCAAACCGAATTATATATCTCTGCAGGCGAATCTCTGCAGACCAGTTTCCGGACAGGCTGCGGTTGAGCTTCCTTCTGTCGATACTCACAGATATAATGCCTTTCCTTGACAGTTTGAATAAACTTGACATTTTACGAATTCAAAACACTGAACAGATAGAACCCACAGAAATTTCAAAGGAAATGGCGAGCAATTTTTTTTGTCACATATCAGTTGTAACTGGAAGAAGCAAATCGATGATCGTCGGATTAGACGTATCTAATCGTACAATAACACGACGAAAATAACGCGCACTGAATATAAAATGTGACAATCTTGATATTTTCTGAAGTATTTATTTACCAAGTAAGTGGCGTAAATAATCTCGTTTCATCGGCGCGTTCCACCTTTGTTCGTTAATCCTCTCTGCTGCAAACTTTTCAATTTTTTGACACACTTTCGAATCAGCATTCGATCCATCGTTACGCCGATTCTCTCGTCAATTTCTTATACAACGGTTAGATAGATACTTTTCCAACTTACCGTTCATCTTGTAGTCGACCGTGGGTCGGGACAAATCGAGGCCGTTCATCAGTGCGGGTGTTCGCCCGGTTTCGGTCAGTTGTACAACGCGAGATCACTGTCTGTCACACATGCTATCACAAAAAAAAAAAAAAAAAGAAGGAAAACCAAAAAATGTCTCACGACAACAACACGTTGTCAACACAATCCAAAAAACGAAAGAGTCACGAAGATTTCTTGGCCATGATCGTCCATGATCGATCGATCGATACGCGTGATCGTTGGCTGCTCGCGACGAAGAATAAAGTGTCGGACTCTACGGGGGGGATTGAGATACTCGCAGGGGGTAGCTTGACACGGAACGCGGTACGATGCGAGAAAGCGTGCGCCGCCCGAAGAAGACACGATCGAAGTAAGGAAACGGATGGCGAGAGAAGAGCCCGGCTGTTCCGTGTCAGCTGGCTCTTGCCTGACTAGAGGATCCGAAATCTGTTGAGAAGAGGATGGCACAACGAGGGTTCCTAAGGGACGATCCACAGGGGTGTGGCGGAGCCGCTTCCATCGAGACTTCTGGTTGGCTCACGGGCGGAGCAACCCCTATCGCATTCAGATCCCCACCAGCTCGCCACAGCATCCCTCGGGAGCGAGCAAGAGAACGAGAACGAGAAAAGAGTATGTATATACGACACGATAGAGGAACGAGCTACGGCTGTCTGAGTGAGTCTGCGAGACCGCCGCCTCTGGGGGTGGGGAAGAATCAGAGAACGTGACTCTGATAACGAAAGAGACACACGCTGCTGCTGCTGCGAACACGTTAAACACCGGCTAGCCTTCTCTTCGCACAATTCGTTTCTTATGGGATATGTAGGATATGTAGGATGAGCCTGTTTTTCCTTTATCATTAGATACATTTATTTAGACGAGATGAGATTGTCGAGCAAAATAATTCTTCTTTTCAAGACGTACTTATTTCGTAATTTTAACTCGTTGAAATTCTATCGAATCACTTTCAACGGTACGGTGAAATAAAGTTCGATTCGGCGGCGACCGAGGGTCAGACGTCAGCGTGCGAAGAAATTTTTTTTCCATCGCGCGAACCCTCGATCGAAGAATGCCGGCTAGCGCGTTGGAAGTTGGAGAGGACCTCACGCAGAGTCAGGGTCAGTGGAACGCCTATCAAAGTCTATATTGGACAAGCTCGGTCACCTTTTTCTTCGGAAAGTAGCTGTCACGAGGAGTGTTTCTTTCTTTTTTCCTTTTCTTTTTTTTCTTTTTTTTCACAACCGCACAGCTCCACAATACGCGTTTGCGGTTTCGCAAGCCACGAAAAGAGACTGACTTTGAAATCGATCGAAGGAGCAGAATTTCGAAAAGAAAAAAAAAAAAAAAAAGAAAAGAAAAGAACGTCACTCTCGGTTTTTTCTTCACTCTTTCGTTTCGCCGTTTCTGAATAACTTTTCCTGCTTAACGGAAACGTGTAACTGAATCTACTTGGATGGCCGTTACACCTCCATTACAGAGGCGAGCCCCGTGAATGGGAAAATTCCGTTACACCGCCCGTGTTTTCACCACTCGTCCGACGCAACTCGCCGTTCCCGTTCTGTGTGAAAAGTCCAATGTCAGTTATTCGTTCGCGTCGTTCCATCAGCGGGCACCGTTCAAATTGCGACGATTTAAATCCGCCGAGTGCCAGGAAAACGGTTGCCAGAGGGAGGGGGCAAGAAAGACGTCGAAACAAATCTTCATTCACCGCGGAAATCTTGCGGAGAAAGAAAGTCGGGGTGCGTTCCACCAACGTATGAGTGCGTTCCACAGGCAGGAAGACATGTGTCGCGTGCAGTTATATCATTCTTTATGGCTGGCTATGTCGGGTACCCTTCGCTCATTCAGCGCTAACGTCGTCCGCGCAATATTTGGCCGGGAGGCTTGATTTACACCGGCATAAAAATGTCTCTTCTCCCCCCCCCCCTGCCGTCCCGCGCCATGTAGATATATCACTTCCTTCGCCTTCACCTTCCAATCTTGCGTTCGTGAATTTTCGCGCCCTTTATACGTGTAGTACGTCGGCCCTCTGATAAATGCGACCACGAGTGCGAAAGCGAATCAAAGATGTAAACCTTCTTTCTTTCCATTTACGTTCACTTCTCGTTAGGATCGATCTTGGAACTTTGTAAACCTGATCTAACTGTTTGTCAGATCTTGCCCTCACGCGGCTAGAACTTCTCTAGATCAAATTGTCTGAATTTGACAAACAAATTCACTCTACTCTCTCGAGATCCAGACGTTCGTTTCTGCATATCGCGATTCGATTGGACATATTTTATATTGCTGTTACAGAGGTCTTTGTTCGGGAAGTATCGAATATTTAATTGCAAAATGTGTAATTACGCCGTAGTGGTACAATTTATTTATTTTCGAAATTAACATTCAATTATTAATAGTTTTAATAATCAAAATGCTAATTAACCATCGGACTTTATTTCTACTTCTCTTACATTTTTCGAAGTACTAACTTATCCTACTCCATTTTCTTCGTATTAAGCTCAGCTTACATCTGTACGACTTTTATATCGTTCACTTTCGATTCTTTGGTCTCTGTAATTCTCTGTACCAGAGGATTTTCGTTTCTCGTATAAATAAATAAACAAGTACAAGTAAATTTTAAAATTCCTTTGTCTGCATCGTGACGAGAAAATTTGTCCAAGATTCGCGCGCTTGATTTATTTATTCTCTATTCGTGTGCACAGAGAAAGAAAGAAAGAAACACACACACACACACACACACACACACACACACACACAGCGAGAAGAGGGTGATCGATTCGTGAACGTAGGACGTGAAACGTCGTCTTTGGCGTCGGGCAAAGGGGTAATAAATAACGGGAGTATCAAAGGGTTATCAGATCTAAGCAGAGCTTCTAGGTCTAGCGCAACTTCTGACACGTAGAGTGACGATGCCGTAATGTCGGTGGCAAAGTGTGCGCATGTGGGGCGAGTCTGTGGGGCGGAAAGGAGAGAGCGGGAGGGGGGAGGGAGGCGCGCGAAGCTATTAAACTGACAGAAACACTTGCCACCCCCTCCTCTGACCCAGCCGCCCCCTCAACCTCCGACTCTATGCCATCCCTTACTCGGAAGCCCTTCGTCCCTTACTGCAACACCGGAGTTATTAATATTTTTCACACCCCCGAAAATTGTCTCCTGTGTGCCCGGCGAACCGACGAACTTTCGCTGTGTATCGGAGAAGCAATTTTACAGGCGTGTCACCGCCTGTCGCTGTCAAACCGGCTACGACAAGATACACGGGAAGTGTCTCTGGCCTCGCCTATTATTCCCCGCGATCGCGCACGATCGCGTCGATAAGTTGCGAAATTTCCGTTTCGTAACGGCCGATTGAAATTCAATTACCAAATCTCCCAAAGGGAAACGATCGTTTCGTAAAATTACAAAGTCAGAAGCATCGTAAGAATGAAGCACGTAAAGGAACCAGCTCGAGTTCAACGACTTATTATACACGTCGATGTAAATCAGATAGACGAAGTTCGGAGTGGCAGGACGAGAAGACTCTCGAGATCTCGGGGATCGTGTGGCCCCGCGCGAGTCGAGGAAGGACGAGAAGCTTCTTGTCAGAGCCGAAATATTCGTCGACCGTTAACCGTCGGCAGAGAGAAAAAGGAAGTAGCTAGCGCGGAGAGAGCCGCAGCACTCGTCGAGGATGAAATAAGAAAGAAGTCAGCGCTCGATGCGATCAAACAATCGGCTGCTGCTCGAGTGGTCGTCCAAGAGAGAGAGACCGTGTGGTCGACTTCTTGATCTACCCCAAAGAGAATTGCGCGTCTCTTGACAAAGACTTGCGCGAAGAGAGAGAGAGAGAGAGAGAGAGAGAGAGAGAGAAAGCGCGAAAAAGCAGGAACAGAAGGGAGAGAACGGAGACAGAGTGAAATAATTCGAGCGCGATACGCGAGCGCCAAAGGTGAAAAGGATCGAAAAAAAGGATCGAGAGACGTGCGTGTCCGTGAATGGTACGCTTGTTGCCTTGTACCCTTAGCAACGGAGCACGTATGTCCGTGAGTACTCCGAAATAGCGATTGGTGAATCTACGTGGTCGTGCTTGAACGTGGTCGCTTCAACGGTCGTGCCGTGGCAGTCTATAATTTGTGTTCGAGTCGAGTTCGGTTCTCTCCGGCGTTGTGTACGCACACGCCTTGACTGCCTTTCGAACGCGCTGCCCTCTAATGTGCCATTGAGAGCCACGTTATGTGGCATAAGTAGTCGAGCAGAAGAAAGAAACGAAAGAGGAGAGGCAAGGAAAGAGCGAACACTCTATGAAGCTCAGGAGCACCGCCCTCCTGCCTCGAGGAACTTGAGACGCGATTGTTGTGCGCCGCGTGCACGCCGTGTACCAGAAGCATTGTCCCTCGTTAGAGGCCACCGGAAGTCACCGGAAGACGATCAACTAACGGAAGACCCTCTACCTTCCAGCTCCTCCTGTCGACGCCCTCCTTTCTCCGCAGACTTTGCAGCTTGTCTTTGCCCTCTCCCCCCGCGGAGACGTCCCGTTTATATTCTGACTTAACGATTTTTCAACGCGCACGTTGCCGCGACACGTCGAGCGACACCGAGCACGAAGATTTTGCACGCTCCGACGACTCGATTCATCGAAACACCTCTCATTCCCGATCGAGTTCGCCTCGCAGAACGTCGCCAGAAGTCGTTCAAGACATACATTTTTCAAGTCACCGATTAATCGTTTAATTAAAAAAAAAAAAAAAAAAATGGTCCACGTGAAGAAACGTGGCGTTGCAAGGTAATCGTATCAAGGGTTCTCCCGGACACGGAGATTCAGGTTACGAGGTCAAGATCGACGAAACACGTAGGAGAAGATCCAGATGTGGATGATAGAATCGTGGCACGCGAGCGACCGGAACTGGCTGAAGTAGGGAAAATCCGGTGTACGTTGGGGCCTTCTCGTGCGCGTGCAACACCCTCGTTTCCTCGCGCGGCCTGTTTAGCCCTGTACCTCTTCGACCGGATCCTCGCGCCGCGGATTTCTAACGCAGCCCGATGGGGAGGATCGATCGCATCGATGTGGCCGGGGGGAGGTTCTCGCAACGCGTACCACCGCCGTTATTTACGATTTTATAAAGCCTCGGACAGCATCGGCCGCGGGGGTGCGAGTCGGTTCGGTGCATTGTACCAACATAATTTCGCGCAAAAGTAACAAAATTATCGCTACGGTCGCGCGATTGTTATCGACAAATAGCGTTTCTGGCCTGGTCAAAATTCACCGGCGAATTAAACATTCGGGCGTGCACCATTCGTCGACGAGCTGCGATTAATTTAGGAAGGTTTGTGCATCAAGTTTACATCATGAGGTCGAACAACGGGGGAGTCGGGAGTCGGGAGTCAAGCGCGGCACGTCGTAAAGCGTGAACCGCGCAACGCGAAGGGGTAGGGGGAGAGCGGGGGTGGACACAGTATATTCCGTACAATCGAGAGCGAGGGGGCGGGGAAGAGGGAGAAAGAGACAGGAGAGAAAGCAATAGCGGGAATCAACAGCGATATTCGTGTAATATCGGCGCAACAAAGT